TACCCTCATTACTCTAGTTAATGTGTCTGCCATTCCATTTCATCTGGGTCTTCCTCTTCTGCATTGCCCCTCAATCCTTCTAAGCATAATGTCCTTCAACAAGGACTCATCCCTCCTGATCTCATGGCCAAAATATGTGAGATGAACCTTCAAAATCCTTACCTCCAAGAAGAAACTTGGTTTCACCCTCTCCAAGATAGACCTGTTTGTTCTCTTGGTGGTCCATGATATGTTCAGCACACTTCTCCAGCACTGCAAGTCAAAGGCATTGATTCTTCTTCTGTCATCCTTAGTCATTGTCCAGCTCTCTTAAGGTCCTCTTTTTTATTTATTTTTTTTATTTATACATAATGACCTTGATGTCATCCCAGAACTTTTCTGGTCGGTAGTCATAAGAGTTCAGTACATCAGATTTATTCTTGAGATGGTCAGGTGGGATGTACTCAGTTTTGTATTTTGGCTCTTGTGGGGTTATTTTCATTTTCTTCAGTTTCATTTGAACTTGCATATGAGCAATCAATGACATGTTCCACACTTAGTCACCGGACTTGTTTTGACTAACGATATTGAGCTTGTCCACTATCTCTTTCTACTGTTGATTTGATTCAAAATTTGATTTGATTTTTTCCTATTCCATGAGATGATGTCATGTTTATCATTGCTGTTTATGGTTTTTAAAAAGTAAATAAATCATAGGTCTTATGAAATTCTGTCATGTAATCACTAGTCTGTCTCATTTCCATCATAAAGTCAACATCTTCCAGCTTTTCCCTTGTTTGCAATTTCTGCATTTTGATTTCCAGCTATTATTAATGCATATCTTTAAAATGATGATTTGAGTGCAAGTTTACAAACTATATTGGTGTTTTCATTAAATCATCCTTATACATTTTATTTTGTAACATTAATTACAACATCTACAATCTGATTATCACCTTTTTGTATATTTGATTATCCCTTTATTGTATATTAGCTTTCTCTTCACCTATTTTAGTGTCTATTATCTATTGACTGCATCGTTTAAAATCAAGAAATGTTTATATCAGAGCTGCATGCTTTTCCCATACTTGTTCAGGCTGTACACTGAGCAAATCAATCAAGAAGCTAGACATTATAAAGAGGAATGTGGCATCAGGATCAGAGGAAGGCTTATCAAAACCTGCATTATACACACAACATAACTTTGCTTGCTTATTAAAAGAGAACTTAAAACACTTGCTGCTGTCTTCAATATGAATTATATCTCAACATCAAGAAAACAAAAATTCAGGGGAACTATGAGGCAATGTCATGATGGAGAGAAGATTGAAACTGTCAAGGATTTAATCTGGCTTGGATCCAGAAGTCAAGAGATTGGAAGATTTATCATGCTTGGAAAAATCTGCTGTCAATGACTTCTCCAAAGTTCTGAGAAGCAATGGTGTTAGTTTAAAGACTAAAGTGCCCCTGATTCAAGCCATGGTCTCTTTTCAGTTACTTGTTATATTCTGAAAGTTGGACAATGAATTAGAATTGACAGAAGAACTTAGACTTTTGAGTTATGATATTGGAGAAGAGTGCTTGAAAATCCTATGGATTACCAGAGAACAAACCAGGGTGCTTTGGAGAAAATGCAACCAGAGTGCTCCTTAGAGTTGAGAAAAGCTTTATCTCACATGCTTTGGCCATGTTGTTAGGATACATCAGTCCTTGGGGGAAAAAATCGTGCTGGGAAAGGTCAGAACACAATGACTGTAACAATGGACTTAAATGTGTCAGAGATGATGAGGATGGCACAGGACAGGGCAAGGCTCAGATAAGGTCACCATGAGTCATACATGATGGCATCTAGCAACAAGTACCATTATCAATTTATTAATTTTTTAAATTTCTTTCTCCTTACCTTTTTATCTTTGGTAACTATCCAAGACTCTATCTATTTGTATCTAAACTTTTCTGTATATCATCTAGTGGAATTCACCCATAGCTGATCCTCCAATGGGTTTTCATAGGCGGTAAATCACAGAGAAAGATATTGTCCTTCTTTTCTTTAGCTTTTCATAATAGTTGTCTTTTACAATATTTCTCCTCTTGTGATAAACTTATTTCACTCAGCATAATGTCTTTTGGATTCGTCTAAGTTATGCAGTGCTTCATGAATTCTTTATATGTTTTTAGTGTTTCACAGTTCTCCTCTTTGTGAATGTATCATAGAGTCCTTAGCCGTTTATCCACTGACAGACACTTGCTTTGTTTCCATTTCTTTGCTCTTGAAAATAATGCTTCAATAAACATTTCTCTCTCAAATTGCCATCAAGTTGGAACCAATCTGTAGTTGACCTTTCAGCAGGTTTTCCAAGGCTGCAAATTGCATGGGAGGAGATTGCCCATCTTTCTCCTGCAGAGCTTCTGGTGGATTTGAACTGACAGAGATGTTTGCCTTTGATTTAGTTGCTCAACTCTCTAAGGAGTACACCACAGGAGTGCATGTACCAGTTTGTGGCTTAGCTCTTATTTTTTAGGATATAACATTTTAAACTTACATCTAAGATGGCTAGATGGAATAGTCTTTCCATTTACAACTTTTGAAGGAAACATCAAACTACTTTCTATAGTGGTTGCATCATTTTGCATTCCCAAAAGGAATGTATGTTCTTGTTGTGTTCTGTTTAATCAGAACTGACCCATAGCTGACCCTCCAGTTGTTTTCAGAGACAGTAAATCACATGGTAGGAGATTTCCTACACATCTCAAGCACAGAAGCTGGTAGATTCAAACCAAGTGCCTTTGGAATTACAGCACAGCTTCTTAAAAATAGGCTACCAGAGCTCCCTAATAATAGGATAGTGACTGTTGATGTTAAGTGTTCTTGGGTCAAGTATAACTATAGTGACCTTATGAACAGCCAATTAGAAAATGTCTTGATCCAGTGCTGTTCTCATTATCTCTGAGACACTAGACCTTGTTACTGAAATCACAGTGTCAATCAATCTCATTGGGGGGTCTTCCACTCCTTTGCTGATACTGCATCTTTCTCAGTGTGGTGTCTATTTCCAAGAAATAGCTTCACCTAGCTATGAGTACAATGTCGACAAATCTTCATTATCCTTCCCACCAAGGAACATTCTTACTATACCTTTTCTAGAACATATTTGTTCTTTTGATAGTCTGTTCAGTATTCTTCACCAGCGCCACAACTCAAAGGCATCAATTCTTCTGTCATCTTTACTCATTTGTCCAGCTCTCTGATACATACAATGTGATTAAGAAGACTGTGGCCCGAAAGAGGGGCACGTGAGTCTTCAAACTGATATCAGTTCTCTTTAGTATTTTGGAGAGGTCCCTGACAGCAGACTTGCCCAGTGCAATACGTGTCCTGATTTCTTGACTGTTGAGGCCAAGGATATTGATTTGTTGATAATAAATTTTTTCTAGATTTTGCTATGAATTATTTTCAAACTTACTAATAAGTAACATGGTAAATCAATGATTGGCTGGTTTAAATCATATAGAAAATAGCTCCATTTTTACTACTCTGATTCATTTACTATTTTCTCATAATCATATACTGATTTTAGGATCCCATCTAATTTGGCTCTGGTAACCTGGCATATCATTTATTTGGATACTTAAGCTATTTTCAGTAGGGAAAATCGTTTCATATTTCAACATATGTTTCTAGTATTTGGCTTCTATTTTATCTTTTAATTGTAATTTTCATGAGATACATATAAAGGACAGAAATTCCACAGGAAATTTTACTCACTTTGGCTGTTAGCACAGTGATTCTTAAGATGTAGTTACCATTCATTATTAGCAGCCCCAGCATTATTTTGAATCTAGTTAAAAATGTAAATTCTCAGTACAGTCCCCAGACCTACTGAATACAAACACTGCAATTGGGTTAGAACTCACTATTTAGATTTTCGAAGACCTCCAGGAGATTCTCATGCATGTGAAAGTTCTAAGATCCACAATTCAGTGTTAGAATTATGCTGAGGTAGAAATAGATAATGTTATTGCAATGTTCAAAGGAGAACTGTGATTATTGTATTTCATAATAATTGTATTTGCTGTTATGAAATATTTGTAAGGCGGGAAATATATTGGTAAAAGATGTCTGAAAAAGTCACACGCATCATAGTGTGTCTCCATGGTACTTAGCATTTTGTTGAGTAATGAAAGTAACATGGAACTTGCGTAAATCACAATCTGGGCCACCTACTTCAAGAGACTTAATGTCTTGTAAATAAAATCTCATTTTGCACAAAGAATATTAGATGAGTAATGTACTTCATTATACGATATACTATTTTTCCTAATTTAGACTATTAAACACTTTAACGGTTAAAGGAAATAGATAGTAGAGAAATGATGAGAAATTTTGCAAAGAACTTTATTTGATTAAAGCCTAAAATGTAGATAGGATGGTTTTAAGCAGAGGAAATAAAATGGAAACTTCAACTTGGGAGAAATTTTGAGTATAAAGAATGAAAGATATAGGTAAAACTATATTGAAGAAAACTCACTGTGGATTAGATTAGTAACTTAAAATGGGAATGGTGCTAAAAATTTAAAATAGGGCTATTGATCTTATCTGTATCATTGAAAGGAGGGTAATGAATGGTTTTAGGGAATTCTGTTAGACCTCTTACAATTGTCTGAAAAACTTTCATTTCTGTTTGGGTGTATGTATTTATTTTCATGTATATAAAAATGTTATCTTTCTAGAGAATGAGCTTCAATCATTTACATAGTCTCAAAGGCCTACTTTTCTCCAAGTATACAATCCAGTGGTTTAAAGCTTGTGACCTTAAACATTTAAGACCATATAATTTTGAGGATATTGAAAAATAGTGGGAGATATTTGTTCAATGAGTATATTTAGATAGTAATAAAAATGTACTTCACTGCCAATAAAATTTTATTTCAGGATCATCATCATAACAGTTCTAAATATAGCAAAAATAAAGAAAATAGGATATATTGTAATTGTTTAATTAAGAAAATTTCAAGTCTAGTCAGGCTGCCAGATTTCTAATGTTTTTGGTCAAGAAAACTTTTAGAACTAGCCTCTTAAAAGCTCCCTTTACATCTTTGTTTCTGAGTGTATATATAAGGCGATTCAACATGGGTGTGATGATTCCATAGAAAAGAGACACTGCCTTTCCCCTGTCCTTGGAGGCAGGCGATGGAAGTTGCAGGTACATATAGGTAGCAGTGCCATAAAAGAGTAACACCACAATTAGATGGGAGCCACATGTTCCAAATGCCTTTCGCCTACCTTCAACTGACTGTATTCTCAGAATTGCTCTGGTGATGAAACCATATGATATAAGGATAAGAGTCAGGGGTATGAGAAGGAATATCACACTGATGAAGAACAGTTCAGCTTCATTTACTGTTGTGTCAGCACATGACAACTTGAGCAGAGCAGGGACTTCACAGAAGAAATGATCTACTTCTTTGTGTCCACACAGTGGCATTTCAAGAGTCAAGGTAGACTGTAATGCTGAGTTGCTAAAGCCACTAATCCAAGAGGCAGCTGCCAGTTGGATGCAGAGACCTTGATGCATAATAACTGAGTAATGGAGGGGTCTACAAATAGCTACAAACCTATCAAAGGACATAATGGCCAAGAGGATACATTCAGTGGACCCCAAGGCCAGAGCAATAAAAAGTTGGACCACACAGCCACCATAACTAATCCCCTTCCAAGTACTACATATGTTTACCAGCATTTGGGGAACTGTACTTGTGGTATAACAAAGGTCCAGGACAGACAGATTAGTAAGAAAAAAATACATAGGGGTATGGAGTTTAGTGTCCAGATGGGCCACAATAATTATTGCTACATTGCCAAAGATGGTTAGGATATAGGAAACCAGGAATATCACAAAGAGAGGAAGCTCCAGCCAGGGTCGGTCTGAGAAGCCTAACAGGATGAACTCCCATGGGACACTCTCATTTACCTTATTCATGTTAATTGCTTCAACTCTTGGTTCCCTGAAATAGAAAAAAGCCAGCAGTTCAATAAACACACTGTTATTGGTTATGTAAAAATAATTTTTCCTTTCCTTTGTATACATTTATAGACCAAAACTGTCAGTGTAAAAAAGATGCTAATAAAAATATAAGTATTTCTTTCCAAATATTTTTAGTTCCTATGATTTTGACAGTATAATAGAAAGGGAAATTTGAAAAAAAAGGTTTTAAATATAGCATCAATTACATAGTCACAGAATTTATCCTTTGATCTTTTGTACTTGGGTAAATACATTGCTCTCACTTCTTTCATTTTTAATGATTTTTTTAATACAACATATATTTTTTTTTACAGCATAATCTTTCCATTTCATTTTTTCCTTCATTCATTCATTGTTTCACATTTTCCTCCCTTCCCCGCCCCCCCCAATCTGTTATTCTCTTTGGAGAAAACAAATTCTTTAATTGTTAAACGATCACCCCCCCAACCCAAGTCAACAGTCTAAATATCCACTATTAAGCAAACATATATAAAGTTTCTGCCATCAGTTATTTCTCCTCAGTGCCAACAAGATCACTTGTTGCTATGAATAATTCAAATTGGTTAAGCTTTGTTCCTTCCTCTAAACAAAACCAAACTAAATCAATTTTATAGAAGTTGTGTAGAATTACATAGTAGAAAGAAAATGCAAAAAACCCAACCAAACCTCAAGCTCACTGTCATCAAGCTGGAAATGACTCATAATTGACCTTGCAGCAGTTTTCTAAGGCTGTAAATCCCAGGGGAGGAGATTACCTATCATTCTCTTGCAGCTTCTGGTGGATTCAAACTGACAGAGAGGTGTGGCCTTTGGGCTAGCAGTGCAACTCTCTCCTGACTAGGCCACCAGGTCTGCTAAAGCACTACTCACCCAAATTAAGAACTGCGGTTTGGGAATGTTTCTTATACTCTGGTGTTTGAGTTCTTCATTTATAAAACTTTTAAAAGTATTTTTATGTGAAGTATAAGTGATTTATTAAATACATTCAGTTTAGTTTCTGGTTTTTAGAAATAGTGCTGTGTAGATGAAAAGAATTATAAGAATCCAAATTCTTAAGGAGCTTGGAGAGGAAGTACGTGGGGTTCTTAGAACTTTATTTTCTGAAATTATCAATGGGAAGGAAAGGGGATGGTGTTAATTTAGTGGTAGAATTCTTATTGTCCATATAGGAGGCCAAGTTCAATTTCTGAGAAATGTGCTCCATGCACAACCACCATCTGTCTCTTTAGAGAAAGCTTGTCAGTTACTATAATTTTCATCATGTTTAAGAGGAGCTTCCAGACAAAGAAGGACTTCAGGGAATGGTCTAGTGATCTGCTTCTGAGAAATTGCCTGATCCCAAGTCAATCCTGGGGATGGCACAGAACTGGGCACCTTTTGTTCTTATAAGCATGAAGTCTCAGTGAATTAGGAGCATGACAACTCCATGATAGCTAACAACAACCAGTGGAAAATGGCTCTACAATGTTAACACTCAACTTTTCAGTCCTCCCACAATCCCCAAACCATCAACCTTGATAAATAGCATCATAGTAACCATCTGATCTGAAGCATGCCCATGATTTTTAATGTAAGTTGCTTGGCATAATTCCTGTCTCAGCAAAAGACACTCATGAGCCGAAGTACGGCAGCGATGCAGAAAATGAGGTGCTTTGGATAGAGGTTATTCAGAGTTACAGATTACCTGGAAGTACTAAAACAAGTCAACTTTATCTAAAAATGTGCTCATATCAATAAAATCTTATTATGACATTAAACTAAATATTTTCTCAATATTGAATGTTAATATTTCATTATTATTGGTGTTCATCAAAATAGTGATAGAGTGTATTTTCCTCTTTATATATTGCTGCTAGTCTTGTCAATTATATCTTTACTTTTAGCTGTTCTAGCCATTTTAGAATGATCTTCAACAGTATTTTGCTTGCATGTGATATTAATGATATTATTCGATAGTTTCCACACTCTGTTGGATCACCTTCTTCAGAAATGGGAACAAATATGGATGGACTTCTTCCAACCAGTTGGCCAGACAGCTGTCCTCTAATTTCTTAGTATAGACTGGTGAGTGTATCTATAGTTGTGTCTGTTAGTTGTAACATATCAAACACTGTCCGATCAGTACCTGGGGCCTTATTTTTTGCCAGTGCTTTCAGTGCATCTTCAAATTCCTCCTTCATTGCCATTGGCTCTGCTCATATGGTACTTCCTGAAATTCTTCTGTGCCAGTCAATTCCTTTTGGTACAGTGACTCTGTGTATTCGCTCCATCTTCTTTTGATGCTTTCTGGATCATTCACTATTTTGTTCATAACATCTTTGAATAATTTTACTCTAGGCAATATGTCTGTTTAACAGATAGAGAACTGCCAGAAGTTCAAGCAGGATTTAGAAGACATCCTGGCACCCAGATTATCATTGCTGATGACAGATGGATGGTTCCTGGCTGAAAGTAAAGAATACCAGAAGAATGTCTATTTATGCCCTATTTGACTATGCAAAAGTATTTAGCTATATGGATCATAACAAGTTATGGTTGACGTTTAGAAAAATGGAAATCCAAGAGCATTTAATTGTGCTCATGTGAAACCTGTACCTACACCAAGAGTCTGTTGTAGAAACAGAGCAAGAGAAACCACATGGTTTAAAATTAAGAAACAGGTACATCAGGGTTGTATCCTCTCTCCATATGTATTCAATTGGTATGCTCAGCAAATTAATCGAGAACCTGGAGTTTATGAAGAAGAATGTGGCATTAAAATCAGAGGATGACTCATCAATAACCTGTGTAATGCAGATGAAACAACCTTGCTTGCTGAAGTGAAGAGGACTTGAAGAACTTGTTGCAGAAGATCAAAGAATACAGCCTTCAATGTGGATTATATCTCAATGTCATGAGGACAAAAATTCTTACCACTGGATCAATAGACGATATCATGATGAAGAAAAGATTGAAGTTGTCAAAAATTTCATCTTGCTTGGATCCTCAATCAACAATGTTGGCACCATCAGTAAGGAAATCAGAATAAGTATTGTTGTTGTTTGTTGTTATGTGCCGTTGAGTCGCTTGCGACTCATAGCGACCCTATGTACAACAGCCCTAAACTCCGCTCTGTCCTGTGCCAATCGCACTCTCTGACACTCCCATCCTAATTATCCCAGTCACTGAATCAATCCACCTCATAGAGTGCCTTCCTCTCCTGCACTGTTCCTCCACCCTCCCAAGCATGATGTCCCCTCTAAGGACCGGTCTCTCCTCACAACATGTCAAAGTATGTTAGACGGAGCCTCAGAATCCTTGCCTCCAAGGAGCCACCCGGTTTAACCCTTTCCAGGACAAATCTGTTTATTTTCCTAGCAGTCCATGGTATTCTCAATACTCTTCTCCAGCACCACAGCTCAAAGGCATCAATTCTCCTTCTATCCTCCTTGGTTACTGGGAAAATCTACTGTTAGGGATTTCTCCAAATTACTGAGAAGCAATGATGTCAGTTTGAGGATGAAGGTGCATCTAATTCAGGTCATAGTTTTTCTGATCACTTACTATACATCTGACAGCTGTGCAGTGGATAAGAATAACAGAAGAAGAATTAATGCCTTTGAGCTGTAGTGTTGGAGGAGAGTATAGAATATCTCATGGACTGCCAAAAGAAGAAACAAATATATCTTGAAGAAAGTGTAGCCAGAGTACTCTTTGGAGGCAAAGATGTTGAAGCTTCTTCTCACATACTTCAGGCTAGGAGAAGTTATTCCTTGAAGAGGGAAATTATGCTTGGAAAGGTTAAAGGTCAGTGAAAGAAACTCTCAAACACGGAGTTTGACACAATGACTGCCACAATGGTCTCTAGTGTTTCAGGAAGTATAAGGATGGCACAGGATAGGACCAGGTTCATACCTGTTGTTGGTAGGATTGCTATGAGTCATATTCAACATGATGATACCTAACAACAACAACTTTCAGTTGATAATGAATTTGATGTAGATAGTCATAGACATAGATATGAAATTATATTTAAAGATTCTAAGTGAAAAAGGAAAGTTATTGGATATTTACATAACTGAAACCATCAGTTAAAGAAAGACTACATGATAACATATAATATATATACACACACAGAACTCTGGTGGTGTAGTCCATAGAGAATGGGCTTCTAACTGAAAAACTGAGCCTCTTCAGTAGTTCAAATTAATCAGTTACTCTGTAGGAGAAAGATGGGCAATCTTCTATTATGCAGTTTACAATCTCAGAAACATAAGGGCTTACATATAAATAGAAGAAAGTGTTGTATCTGGGAAATAGGGATCTGGTGAATAAAGAAGAATTTATTTATACTATTTTGTTCTAATGGAGTTTTGGTGGCATATTTCTCAGAAGTTTTTGCTGCTAACAAGGCCATGCCTCTCCGGAGATTCAAATACATCAACAGCTCTGCAAGAGGCAGCCTTGTAGGGCTGACTCAGTTAGGGTCAGCTATGAGACCCTTCACACTAGATGTCAATGAGAAAGATTTTAGTTCTAATTTTTTTAAAAAATAAGCGGGCATTATTGTTGGGTTTTCCCAACTGACTCACTTTCTATATTACACTTTCAGATGAACATCGCTTTACCTTCAGATTTTGAACACCAAAAGCTTTGTTGTTATGTGCTGTCAAGTCATTGTGATTTATAGTGATCCTATGTACAACATCCTTAAACACTGCTCTATCCTGTGCCACTTATTGTCTCTGACACACCTACCCCCATCACCCTGCTCACTGAATCAGTCTTCCTCTCTTGTGCTATCCTCCACCATCCCAAGCATGAAGTACTTCTCCAAGGACTGGTCCTTCTTTGCAAGATTTCAAAAGTATGTAAGACAAAGCTTCAGAATCCTTGCCTCCAAGGAGCAGCCTGGTCTCACTTTCTCTAGGATGAACTTGTTTGTTCTAGCAGTCCATGGTATATTCAGTACTCTT